TTGATAAAATATGAGAGCTTTCTGTCCCTCCATTGACAGCTAAGCAACTACAACTTTGACACTTCAAAAAAGTTCATAAGGAGATCGTAAAACTAATCCATATGAATTGAGCGGTTTTGTCCAAATTTACTGACGGGACTTGATCACTTTAGATGATGAACAGATTGAATTTAGTCACATTCATCAACCTAAATTCAATTCATCATAAAAAGCGATCGAGTCACTTTTTATGATCTCATTAAGAACTTTTTGAAGGGTCAAAGTGTCAGTTGCGTAGCTGTCAATGGAGGGACAGAAAGCACTCAGATTTCATCTAAAAGAGATTTCTTCATCTCTTCATTTGTGTTCTGAAGATGAATGAAAGTCTTACAAGTTTGCAACAACATGAGGGCGAGTAATTAATGACAGATTAAATTTTTTTGGGTGAACTATCCCTTTAAGTCTCCGTAGAATTGTGAGATAAAAAGTCGCAATTAACTTTCTTATTTTTAATTCAGTAGCGGACAGCTTCCATAGCATCTAAATGATATGAAATAATCTTAAATATTTCTCCTTTTCTCAGTCAATGAAAGCTTACTGTTTTACTAAAAGCGGTGGACAAGTAGCTGCGTGGGAAGTCGCAGGAACATCAGAAGATGACAACAACACAGTTTTTTTGTGCAGGGTCAAAGGTGCTGATGACACAATCGGACACCTTTATGTATACGGTATGTTACTCGCAATTAAAAGCAATTAAGAGTGAACAGACAAATGCCTTCATGTCTCTCTCTTTCTGTGTGTGTCTTTCAGAGAATGATTCTTACTATGCGAAACTCATCGGATATGTGATTGGAGGATTTCTAGCCGCCCTCATTACCATCATTGCGGCTTATGTCCTGTTGAAAAGATCAGAGAGAGCGCAGCAATGCTTCAGTAAGTTTCTTATTGCTCGTGACATTTGGTTCTGTGTTTGACTGACTTTAATATATTTAACTTACTTGAGAGATGTTAAGTTATAGACAGGTTGTTTCTAAACTTTGGTCTCGTTTTTTTAGGGTCGGTGGGTGGAATCCAAGATGACGTGCAATCAACGCAAACAAAGCAATACTGAAACCCCGCTCACGCTTGAATGTAAATTTGAAGGGTTTGTACAAATATAGGACAAATATCATCATGCAATAAATGTAACATAGGCTACAACATGCAGTACAATTATCTTCTATACCAAATTTGAAAGAAGGGCCTGCGTTTCTGCAGGTTTGATTATTGTCCAGTAGGGGGCATCTTCATTACTCATTTCTTAACAGGGCATGTTTCTGGTCACGGAGGAACATTCTTATTAAACTATCATAACTGTTTTCCTATTTCTCACCCTAACCTTCCCCTTAAAACAAAGGGATATTGATCCAGGCGTCTTTCTGGCTAAAGCACTTTAAGCATCAAGCAACTCCACCTTTCCATAATGTTTATCTTACAAATATAAAGATCAGATTATTTAATCATGGATCTGCTGTTTATTTAATAGTCAAGTACTCTATGCCATTGTCATACCTACTGTTTACGTTATGCATTTATTTATTTATTTTATTTTTTGAATTGAAAGTAATTGACACACAACTTTGACCGATATAAGTTAAATATATTCTTTTTACACTGCTTTAAGAGGCTAAATGACAACTTTCCAGGACACAAACTGAGCCTTTTGGATCGTACTGACTGAGTAGATCAATAGTAGATGGGTCAATATTGACACAGGTGGTTCGCTGCACCCTGGAACGACTTTGTGCTTCTATTCTGCTATGTTTTCCATTGTAGATATCAATCCATGAGAATTTTAGTTAATTTTCCAAAGATTCTCAAAGAAACTACGCATCTTAACATGTTTTGAAGCTTTGGATATTTGCATATGTACTCCAGCACACACACAAGAGATCACATTACAGCACACAATAACAACTCTCTATCTGGTTTAGCTCACAGTCAGATTTATATTTAATATTAGGCCTCGATATTTTCAGATTGTGCTCTTAACAATTAAAAATGTAAACATTATTGACTGAAATGTAGATCTCCATTCTTCAGACATTCAAATGTAAAACATATATTTTATATTGTTATTTTTACCTACATTTTAGTTTGAATTTAAATGCTGTTCTCTTATGAATGACTTCACTTTCTATTGAATGGGACTCTGACATAGTAATTTCTAGATTCTTCTTTTCAGATTTGTGTAATATGTTCCACTGACCTCATCAAAATACAGTAGACATATTATTGCGGCTTTTACTCTCTGTTTTATCAGCATGTACTTTTCATAAAGGTGATTATCATGTATAGAGATGTTTGTTTGGGGTCAGTTCGACCCCAGTGAGAATACATTTAAGGAAAATACAATAAAACAAATTGAAATCAAAAAGTGGCAGACATGTATAGTGCATTTCTTTTGTGTGTACATCAATCAAATTGGTTTGTGAGAATTCATTGCATTTACTTGTGTTTCTAAGACCACCAATAGGTTTTTTTTCTCAGTTTAAAGAAGAAAAAAAAAACGTTCACATTTAGTTTATAGTCAGTTCTTAAAATGTAAAGTCATGAAGAACATTAAACTGCTTTAGCTCTTATCATTTCGCCAGTCTTGGGTTGTTTGACAGATTTTAACGCAAATAATGTTGAAAGAGTCATGTAAGCTGTGGATTCACTGACAGTTTTTCCATGTGAAATCTTTCAGATGACTGCGTTTGCTGGAGATGCCCTAGAGAGCAGCTCCTCCCTGACTGCCTGTTCACTCTTGAATACTGTGGTTAGGAAATAGCATTTCTTCTGTAATGGTGCAGTAGGGCAGATTTTTGTTCTTACTGTGCATGATTGTAATTGGTACTGTAAAAACATCCACCTTGCCGATCTTTATCAGAGCTTGTAGTGAAATTACTACAAGTAGACTACATTATTTTGTTCAAAGTTTTCTTTGCAGTGAATAAGATGATTCTTCAAGTGTACACCCTAAAAAGGGACATTACTTTGCTTATAACCACTCAATTGGTTGTTTGCCTTGATGCATTTCCAAAACAAATTAGCTTGTGAACATCTGCAAATGTGCTCAATTTTGGCAATGCACAATTAATATCAAATTGAATGAATAATATTTCCAGACTGCCAAAACATAATGATATATGCAGTGCCTTGTAAAAGTATGTAGAGTTGTAGATGTTACTACACTTTGAGTTAAGTTAAACTGTGCAAATTAAATTGAAGGGTATGATTTGGAAAGCTGAACACCTCTCAATAAAAGGTCTTACACCTGAAAATGCATATTAGAGCAAAAATCATGAGGTCAAAAGAACTGCCTGTAGAGCTCAGAGACAAGACTGTGTCGAGACTCAAACAAGCAAAACAAATCTGCTGCATTGAAGGTTCACAGGAGCATGTAGCCTCCATAATCCTTATTAGAAGAAGTTTGGAACAACCAGTTGGGCCAGTTGCATGAACTTAGCCACTTTGTTAAGACTGTCTCTTAAGAACTAGTTTGGCCAACTAGAAGTTAGACAAGTGATGAGCAGTCTTACTTTTCCAACTCAAATTAGACCGATCTACCGTTTTATGTAACTGGCTTTAAAAAAGGATCAGCTTTGAAGAAAAAAACAGATGACTAACTTTTAAGACTAGTCTAAGTAGTTTATGCAACCGGCCACAGGACTCCAAACTGAGCGATTGATGGAGAAGGGCCTTGGTTAGAGTTGTGACCAAAAAAGATGGTCACTCTGGTTGAGATACAGGATCATACAGATATATGTAGATGGGAGAAAACCACAGAAGGACAAACATGACTGCAACACTCTGATAGGCTTTATGTGAGAGTGGCCATACTAAAGCCTCTCCTCAGTGAGAACGCATGAAAACTGGGGGACTCATCAGAAAAGAAAGCTCAACGCAGCAAAATATAAAGTTAGTTTTGATGAAAACCAAGACCAGATCATTCAGAAGCTCAGACTGGGCAGAAGGGCACCTTCTGACAACTCTAAGACAATGTAAGAGTGGATTATAGGCAACTCTGTGCATGTCATTGTGTGGCCCAGCCACAGCTTGAACCTAATCCAACATCTGGAGAAACCTGAAAATGTCTGTCCACCAAAGGTCTCACCCAACCTGACAGAGATTGAGAGGATCTGAGGAGAAGAATGGCCGAAAAATCGCCAAATGCAGATGCTCAAAGCTTGTCGCACCATACCCAAAAATGCGTGCTTCAAGTTAAGGGTACAAAAAACTTTTGCAATGTACTTATTTCAGTTTTTTCTTTTTAATTAATTTGCAAACTTGTCACAAACCTGTTTTTTTTTTTTTTGCTTTGTCAGTGTAGATTGAAGAGGAATAAATTATTTTTAGTTGTGTAACAAAGCAGCAACATGACAAAATGTTTAAAAAAATTAGGAGGCATGAATCACAAGGCACTGTATATGTATATTCATTATCTTATTTTTTTAAATAAATACAATATCAAAATGATTGAGGCCATTTACAGAATTACAAATCTCATATATATATATATATATATATATACAGATCACAAATATTGCAAAATATTTATATATTATATAGTTATTATATAATTATTATTTAATAAATTGTATTCTTGTTTTTTTGTTTAATATACATTTAGTCATATATTATATAACGAAACATATTGTAAAACATATTTATATATTATATACTTTTTTACAATTATTTTTTCACGATTTTTTTATTTTTTTATTTATTTGCCCATAGTGCCACAATACTGTTGACTATAGCGTAAAGGACATTCACTTTAATACCTCTAGTAAAGAACATTTAAAGGACATTGATTTGTCGGTGTACTCATGCTGGCCTCAATCTTAAACAACTTTTAAGCTGTGTTTAATTCGTCAACACACAGGTCATGTTTTGGGCAAAACAGTGGACAGGATGACGTGTTGCCCACACCCAAAATTCATCGATCTGATATGCTGGGCTTTGTTTATGTGCATACAGTAAGGAGGAGTTATTTTTAAAGGTTATAGAAAAGACAGAAAGGTTGTGAGTTAACTCTACCTGAGGAGCATCATCCAACATCTACCGCCTCGGAGAGCCATCAGTTCCTCTGCTAAGGTAATATGACGTTCATTTTATATAATGGATTGCACTAAATGTGACATGGGAAAAGATGTAATGAAGAATTACCTCCTGTAATATTATTGATTTAACTTGCCTGCCAGTTAGGATCCTTTGAACATTTTCATTAATGTTTGATTCAGTGCCATTTGTGATTAAATACATAATCCATGGTCTAAGTTATTCATTTAACTAAAGATTAAAAATGATTAGATAAAGATTCTCTCTCAGAATCAGGCCGAAAGCTGAAGGTGACCCCATTGCATTTAAGATATGCAGACATTTTGAAAATTGGCTGGCTGGACCAAGTGTAGGTCATAATAAGAGAACTGAATCAGTTTGATTAAACAATGATCTGAATCAACTGATTCATAGAAAAGACTCAATTTGCTCATCATTGCTACTTCTGACATGGCTATGAAGTCATTCTCTCTCAGAATCAGGTCCAAAGCTGAACCCATGGGATTTTAGATATGTGGACATTTCAAGAATTCTTTTATGAAATTTGTGTAAATATTCCCTGGAACACTCTAAAAAAATAAAGGTTCTTTATTGGTATTGATGGTTCCATAAAGAACCTCCAAGGAACCTTTCCACTTCTCTAAGGTTCTTTAGATTATTCAAATGTTCAACAAAAGGTTCTTTGGGAAACTAGGCATCACTGCGAAAACCCCCTTTTGGGACCTTAATTTAAGGCTTAATGTTTTAAAAGATAATCATAGTAAGTTTTAGTTGCCTTAAAGGATTAGTTCACTTAAAAATGAAAATTGTGTCATCATTTACCCACCCTCAAGTTATTTCAAACCTGTATGAATTTCTTTCTTCTGCTGAACACGAATGAAGATATTTTGAAGAATGTCAGTAACCAGACAGTTGATGGACGCCAATGAGATGGACTTCCATAGTACTTTGTTCCATACCATGGAAGTCACTTGGGTCCATCAACATCAATTCTTCAAAAATGTGTGTTCAGCAGAAGAAATAAATTCATAGAGGTTTTTACAACTTGAGAAAGAAATCGGTCAGGGCACATGTGTGGTCAGTGAGATCAAGAAAGTGCTGATTTACTGATCCAAAGCACTCTAAGATGATTCCATAACCAGAGGAGGTGGGAGGGCAAATTTTCCAAAACACCTCCAGGCGTTCAAGGGTACACCAGCAGTGTCCTGCGTCCCGACTGCGTTGACCCGTCGTTTCTATGTTTACTTTTAAAACACGAGCGCTGATTTCTCTCAGCTGCGTTTACAGCTGGAGTTTCTTAACAAACATTCGACGTCTCACCACATGGGAAAGAGACATATTAGATCTAATTATAAGTGCTGCAAGAAGCCCATGCTGACTTGGTTAGTGATATTTACTGAAAATGATTTTAAAAAAAATCATAAGTATGTTTTATCTTAAGTTTTTCTGTAAAATAGTTGTCATTTACTCGCTCTCTCACGATGTTCAAACCTCATGAAACAAACGTTGGCCACTCTTTTCAATGTAATGAAGCTGAATGAGGACTGAAGAAAAAAGCAACATAAAGTCCATAAAACATGAGCGCTGTCTTCTGAAGACTTGTGAAAGCTTTGTATAAGAAACAGAACTAAATTTAAGTCGTAATTTACCACTACAGTGGGCTGACTGGACAATTCAGGTGATTATAAGAGAACTGAATCAGTCTGATTCAAGAAGGATCTGAATCAACTGATTCATTGAAATGACTCACTTACATGTTAGAAACAAGTTGTATGGAGCACTTTAAAGATTCGTGTATGGTGCTTTTTGTCCTTTTAGAGCCCCAGTCATCATGAGTAAATGACAGAATTTCATTTATGTATTTATTTTTGGTGGACAATCCCTTTAGGAGACAAAAATGGAGATAAGAATGAAAAATGACTAATTTATTGTGTGTATGTGTGTGTCCTTGACCAGGAGGGCTAAAAATGAAGAAGCTCACAGAACTAGTTCTCCTGACAGGTAAGTCATGACTGTTTATGTCCACAGTAAAGGTCACAGACAGATCTGTGACCTTGGGCCTGAAGGTCAAACATTCAAAAGAAACTTTCCGTTCAAATTTACAGTATACTTGGACTTAGTGTTTTGACAGAACAAGCTTTTAGTAAATTATAGCAATACAGTATATTTATACTTGTTAATGTCAATAATGATCTCCTTCTTTGTGTGTAATTTGTCACATATCTTCATTTTCATCTATAGTCCTCTTGGCACTCTTCAGTCAAGCCGAAGCAAGTAAGGCATAACTGTTTGATTCTTATATTACAATTCAACATCTTTATAAATTGAGAACATTTCTGGCAGTATTTTGTCTGTTTTCAAGAGTGATCTAACTTTTCTCCTCTTTTTTGCCTTTGCAGATCCTTTTGTTTACAGTAAGTACTCTGAGGCAGATGCTCATGATTTTCTAATAAATAAAACTTAATAAATATAATACATATAGAATATCTATATATATATATAAATATATATATATATATATATATATATACACACACACACACACACACAAACACACACACACACACACACACATCTATTTCATATTTATTAACACACATTATATGTAATGCACACACACACACACACGTATCTATTTTATATTTATTAACACAAATTATATGTAATGCACACACACACACACACACACATATATATATATATATATATATATATATATATATATGTTATAAAATATTATGTTATTATAAATTATAAAAAATACGTGATTTATCGATTTGACAGCTCTAACCCATGTACACATTTATAAAAGTATTATTTATAATTAATAGTACTACATAAATTTACATTTATTAAACATTAATTTTTAAGCTATATTAAAGAGTCTTAAAATTGGCTGCTGACTGCTGCACTTTTTAGACTACGAGGCGCTGAGGATCGGGGGTTTGGTCTTCACAGCCCTGCTTGTAGCAGGAGGGGTTACAGTTTTGTGTTGTAAGTAGCTCCAAACTTTTACACGCATTTTCTACCTAACGAAAACCTTATGTTTGACTCTATATACTCACAGAAAGAGTAACAGATTGTTCTCTTCACAGGGGGGCAGTGCAAACAAAAGAGAAAGTAGGTCACCTGATCTCAGTGTCAAATTCACACTTAACACTTTAACATCTCAGTAAAATGATGCACATTTTAAAATCAAAATTTATCATTAAAAGAAAAAACCTGTTTCAAATGTGCCTCATCTTTTTGACAGGGGTGAAGAAGATGCAAGCAAAATCTAAGGATCAGGGACTTTCCATGGGATATTTGATCGAGTAGAAGACTAGAAACTACAGATGTCTAACTAGCTCCACTTGTACTTCATTTCAATGTAGTTTTTCCATCGTTTCAACCATTTAATTTATTCATTAATCACAGTTCCTGCCCAAAAAACAAAACAAAAACTGAGGTGCTGTTATTTTGAATCTGTAGATTTATTCTATACATTTTAATTAATCTCTTCAAGTGGCGCTTTAATAAAGATTCTCAGTTATGGGCTGGTAAAAATGCATGTGGAGTAATTTTTTATGCCTGAGGTTATTTTGGCTGAGACATGTTCAAACACTGGCTGGCCTTGCAAGATAAAACTCAAGTCTTTTTGATTTTCCAGTAGGTGGTCTGGATAACTTTTATAATAAATTGACTTTAATGCTGAAATGCATTACTAAAGAATAGAGGGAATGCTAAAATAATAATAACAGCAATTAATTTTTATATTAATTTTACCTGTTCTGTTCCTCAGTGTTGTACACTCTTAAAATAAAGTTTCTTTAAACACATCTATGATTCCATGAAGAACCTGTAATATACAGGGAACCATTGCACAAAAAGGTTCTTTATGGTGATAAAGGGTTCTTTAAAATGCTCTTTACACTAAGAAAAAATTGGCTATTTTAAGAACTGTCCACTGAAAGGTTCTTTGAGGAACCAAAAATGAACACTGCTGCAAAAATAATGTGAATAATGTCCTGACAGCCTTCAGCTAAGTTTATTAACATTTCCCTCAACCCTAAAACACAATGCAAAGCATTGTTTTAGAGCGAGTGTGAATCATTGTGTCCACACAGCAGAATCAATTTAGCCTGAGCGTGCATGACAAACTAAAAACTATCAGAGTTGCTCTCCCAGAGAAAAGGATCCTTCATTCAAAGCTCAACCCACTCGGACTGAGCCAACCTGTTGAGCGGATTGTTTAGGGTGTTGGTTTCAGTCAGTCTAGATCAGATTTTTACGTGTGTTTAGGGTGGTTCCTCCACAACCACATTTCAAACTTCAACGTTTCAGTTTCTTTCTCCTTGATAAAGGTGAGTGATCAATTCTGGACACCATTTTAATGTCTATATACTGAAACATATGTTACGGCTGATGGATTTAGTCAAGTTCATTGTATTCAAATATGATAATTAAGCATTCAGAAACTTTTTAAGGGCTTTTGACGACTGACTTTAATGTGGGATCTTCATATTCTTTTACATACTTTCCAGCTGTTAGTCAATAACGTTTATTTTATAAAAGAAGAAAGTAAACCTAAAATTTCAAGATGAAAAAATATGTAGATAATCAGACATTATTTGAGTAAAACATTAGGGTCTGAAAATCTGAGACCACTAATGAAAATGCACTTTTTCTTCGCATTTTCTACTAATTTCATTTTTAACATTATGCAGAAAAATATAAGTAAAAACTCAAGTTGACAAATATATATACATTTTATATTTGGTTCATCCCCCTTTTGCTTTAATGACAGCGACAATGGAGTCACATGAGCAAAATATGTTTTTTTTCTCCAGCATGATTTAACATTGAGAATTATGCAAAGAGCATCTTGTGCTTCTATAAAAGCAAGAACAGTCTGTACAAGAGAGTTAATGTAGTCAGTGTTGCACAATTACTTAAAAATTGCTTTTCAATTTTATGTTAGCTTTGGAGAGGGAAAAAAAATATTTGGAGGCTTAATAACAAAACAAAATCCAGGTTTTCAAGGTGGTCTCAGACTTGGACCCCACTGTTTGCGTTAGTTTTCCTCCAGTGATTTGCAAACTGGAATGTCAAGCAGCTTCACCGCGGAGAGCAGCTGCGCCCTTGATCGCTGCGACTTTTAAAGATCACAGGCACATACATTCTTTGCTGAACAATAATCCCTTCTTCATTGAATATTATTTGAACAAAATCCAACTGTGTTTTGAATGACAGAAACCTACTGGTGCTACAACATGTAGAAATACCATTTACTATGTTTATAATTCTTGGTGCTTTTTAATATTATTGGTATTATTATTTGAGTTTTATGGACTAAGTGTTGCTACTGTACGTTTGATTCATTTAGTTTACTGAGAGATCTTAGAAAACGTAATTTGTGAACATCTGAATAAGGAACATGGAGGCTTAATCGTGAGCTGGCTGTGAATATGGAAAAGTTGATGAAATCCAGTCGTTCACGAGTAAACAAGTCTAAAGTGGTGTTTAAAGTTGGAGATGCATCCTGGCAGCCCACCGTTTCAGCCTCTTTTATCACAAAATAAGAAAAAATGTAGTTTGACAGGATTAAATTTAGATGCGTATAGCCATATTTTCAGCATTTATTGCATGATGGAAACAGATGTAAGAGGGAGCACAAGGACAGCACTCCATTAACCACTGGAAAGGGTGGGATTGTGGTTTTTCTAACGGTGATTCATTTCAACAGATTGTCTCGTTCCTTCCTGCGTCACTCTGAGTCTGGACAGCAAAGAGCTTGAAAGCGCTGTGAACTTCACTACAAATCTAGTTATATTGAGGACTTTTCTGGAGTAGTTTGTCTGTAAAAACACTGTTGAACTACATGGCTTTACTTTACCTCCATTTTAAACGGCCTGTGCTATTAAAGGGCATCTGTCAGCGTGTTTGTGCTGGAGTGTATAATCAAGTTCACAGCCTGTTCTCAGGGGTGGAATTTCGTTCCTAATATAGCTGTAGTCTGGATTCCTGTGTACATGGCGTGCATCCTTTGTGTGCCATGTGATTGTGTCAAGTTCTCTTATATGGAGTGCGGGGTGTTTGGAAAAAGTAGGTGAGGCCAAATGTGACTTAAGTACACCAATCACTCACACAAACATGTATGTGTATTGCTTGCTTGCTTTATCTTTTTCATATCCGTGGTAAACATGGTATTTTTTTTTTAATTTATGTAATATCACCACTATTATAAGCCCATTTATCTGTTTATTTATATGCCTATGTGTCTTCTAATTGGGTGGATATTAGACTCTAAAAAGATCTAGTGATCTTTTAATTGTCTGATTTTAATTACAAATCACTGGTCAGGAAATTAGCAAGAATTCACAAATACTGTAGATAACGTAATGTAGCACAAAATAGCCTTCCCAACTTGCAGATAGCTTTTTACAGAAGGAAGAGTCAGTGTTTTTACACTCAATATTGATGGCTTTAACCTGTTCTTTGGTAGTTGAAAAATGTTTGAGTTTAATGTTAGACCAAATATTCACTAGAGGGTTCAAACCTGGACTCGGACCAGCTCAGAGTTGTTCTCAAGCCACTTCTTGGGTGTCTTTGTAATGCAGGAGCATTGTCTTGCTGAACAATAATATCTGATGATTCCTAATTTGTGGGAAGCAAGCCATTATGCAATATTCTCTTGTACTCCAAAGCATTAAATTACTACAGCTAAAAGGCTCCCCACTCAATGACACTCTTCCTCCATGCTTCACTATGGAAGATGCAACTCGTGTTTCATTGATTGATCACTCAACACACAACCCATATTCTAACAAGAACTTCGGTCTGATGATTTTTAAGTAGTGCATTTGCTTCAATTTTGCTAATTTCCTGACCAATAATTTGTATTTAAGACAATAAGTGTTTGTTTAGCCATTTTGGGCTTGTCCATTTTCGTGTATATGTATACAACATCTTTACTGCGGATAGGAAAAAGAAACCAAAAAAGAGAACAATGTGTGTGTGGCACTGCCTGCCAGCTGCTACTTCAACATAATTCTCTCCTTTCTTCAACACAGAACATACTCCACCTCCACACACCAGCTGTTGCTCGCAATAATTACTAGATTGGTCAAATTAGTGCAGAGAGGGAGGCGTGTCCATCAACTGGAGAGTGATCAAATCTCCAGCCAATCAAACAGATAGCCTGCAGCTCACACCAGTATGGGGCAGATCAAAGTCTTTTTAGGCAAGTCATGCCACTCGGGCACCATCTTGGCAACGCCTCCGGGCAGCTATTTCGGACTAACAAGACCAGGCTCCTATCTAAATGAATGGGCAGAGAGTCAGACTCAGAACTGCACTTTCACTGGTCACCGGGACATAAAAACTGCATGTATACAAACAGTAATAAAACATGATAAAACTTTCATGATTTTGCGGCAAAACAAGGTTTTAAAACGGCTTTTTCCCCACAGGTTAAACTTTTACCAAGCATGCGCAAGGGTTCTCTCGCTCTCTATCGTGCGCTCTAGATTCCGGGAGATTTGAACTAATTTGCGGGCATCAGGGAGCCGCTATCAATCTGCAGGAGACTCCCGAAACTTCCGGGAGACTTGGGATGTCTGATATTTACACAACTAACACATATCAAATCTGCCGCCTTTTCAAACAGTAAAATATTTTCCGCTGTCGCAAACCTCAACTGTGCGAATGCGTCGGTGGAACCAGACGATAGGCTTATACGTTTCCCGGCTTGACTGTTAAAGGCAGCCGATTGGCTTTTCAGAGGGAGGGGCGTGGCATGTGCATACAACCGCCATCTTTGTTGACATAGGTTTTCCCTATAGTTGTATTTAAGGATTGAGGAAGTGGCATGTTTTTATATAAATAGTCTCTGCGCAGATGCAATGCTTTTTAACCCAAAGCGTTTAGCTATACAGCCTCAATTCAGGTGCAGAACTGTAAATAACTGCCTTTAGACTAACTTTGGTCACTAAAACCACCATTAGTAGACATGATCTAAATATAAAAACTATGATTAGGAGAGAGTGACAACTGTGTTTACTAATTTGTGTCTGCTAGTAAGCTTTCATCCAGACAGAGGCATTTCTGCACTCGATTCAACTCACCGCCATGATGCTATGGGTTGCAAAGGTGTTTATGAATGACTTTTAGCAGGTTGCCGTGTGGTTGCTACATCTCTGGTCTACGGTGTTCTGGGTGGTTGTTAGTGAAGTCGGCTACCTGCTGGACAAAGTCAAAAGCACACAATCATGAGTTAGATCACTTGCCTAAAAGGAATGAAAATTATCCTATAATTTACTCACCCTCAAGCCATTAGGTATAAACTCACAATCAGAGTTATATTGCATAATATCCCAGCTCTTCCTAACTTTGTAATTGCATTGAAAAGTCCCTGGTTTTTTCACGCCATAAAAAGTGCATCCCTCCTTCATAAAAGTAATCCATACGATTCCAGTGGGTTTATAAATGCCTTCTGAAGCAAAGCGATGCATTTTTGTAAGAAAACTTTACAAACTATAATCACTGGCTTCTGGCAACGGCCGTACACTTATTCATGCTTCAAAAAAATCGGGCACTATTCAATGCCATTACAAGAACCAGGCTATAATTTCATACATCTCTGACTGTGTTCAGCTGAAAGAAGAAAGTTATTTACACCAAGGATGGCTTGAGAGTGAGTGGTGGCCGGGGTAATTGTCATTTTTTTGGGTGAACTATTGCTTTCAAAAACAACATATCTGTTAATATATGAGGTGAGAAAAATACATTTTTGCAGTGCACAACAAGTCAGAATTTTAGTAGCTCAAACTGTGCAGGGTGAGTTATTCAGCAAATTTTAATACCTCTATGGTTAGGGGGTTGTTAAAATACAAACTACAAGCACACACAATACAGAACTAAAGTATTGACTTGCTCAGACACTGAGAGTGAGTGATATTCCTTTGTTATCTGGTTTGAATATCTCATTTCCTGAAAGAGGATTTAATTTTGCACAAGAGGAGCAAAAAGGGTAGAGAGACATTATTGTTTCTAGAATGAATGAACTATGGCAAGTGCAAAAAAATAAAGAAACAAGGCATTACATTGAAAGAGGGAACAAACAGTTTGTGTATGTGAGACAAGGAAGTGATGTAGGACACAATTCCTCATTCTTTCCCATGACTCACTTGCTGGCAAGCCAACGTGACCGTAACAGATCACAGGACTTTCATTATTATCTTCGTTCACCCTGGGTGATTCTGCTGGCAGGAGGGTGCTAAAACGTCCAGACTGTCCAAACCTGAAACAAGAACAGTGAGATGAAATGCTTTCTCCTTTTCTCTCAGTTCTTTGTTCAGTAACATGATGAGCTTTAAGAAGGTTGTGAAATACCTAAAAACAGATTTTCTTGCCAGATTCTTGGAAGAATTATCTGTGCACTGCCTGGTACTGATAAAATAACTATTGTCATTTCACTTATTGGCTGCCCTAGTGAAAAAACCTATATCAAAGTGTATTTAAAATACATTTAGTTCATACCAAGTATACTACAAATTCATAAACACATTTACTGACATATCGCTTGAGACTTACTGATATAAATATTATAATTAAACTTTATTTGGAATAGTCCTTTACTGCACAACTGCATGATCACTGTATAATATCAGTCTTTAAATGCAATATATCTAAAGTATACCTTAAGTATAATTGCCATAGTTCCACTTTAGCATGATGAAATAAATATACTTAAATATATCTTTAGTTGAACATCAGCACTATTTCTACATAGTGTATTAAGTACAAAATTAGTTGTTCTAGTTTAGCAGTGTATCAATTTAGTTTACCAAAAGTACAATTGCAGGGTATTTATATTAAGTACATAAATTATACTCACTTGTCTAGCATAAAATAGCCTACATGTATTTCATGTAGAAGATATTGCAGAACGTTGTGAGCGTTCTACTAAAGCAGCTTATGATTATAGCTTTAAAAGAGTTGTTAAAAATGAAAACTCTGTCAGTATGCCAACTCAGTTTTTATCATAGACTGTAGACAAAAACATATGTTTTTATATCTTATGAGCCAGAGAACGACGGCGCAGTCATCTTTTTAAACTTCAAAAACAGATATCTAAAAAACAATTGCCAGTAGACAAGGAAGATTTTAAAACGATCCGTTCATTCATAAATGCGCGAGATCGCAGTGAAAATATGGCAGGTAATATTTTTATTTTATACAATAGTTAACGAAACAATACATAGTTCCCACAGGCAAATTAATGTCATGTGACCTCCCCGGAGACGCCATCTTTGAGGGCATTAGTTGCTGTATTTACCATAAGTGTTTGCAAAGTTTTACAAACAAATATTTATTTCTGTTTATAATGTTACGCAAATCATGAAGAGACAACGTGAAATAGATTACAAAGACTGAAAACAAGACAGACAGAGAGAGAGGTACAATACCTCGTCATTTTTGTTCATACAGGACATTATTCAAACTGCAAAGTGTTAACAAATAGCTATTTGTTTACACTCGCAATAAAACACAACATTGTGCTTTTGTCAAACAAATTCTTGCGTGTTTTGAGTGAGTTTATTTCCTGTTTATCCTCGCCAGCCATTAACTTACCTCCGCCGTTGTTCTGACAAAAGCTTATTATTAGTCTTCTCACATCCATGGAGTCTAATGACGGGTATACTGTAAAATCCCGATTTAACTGAACCTCCGGCACGATTTTAACATCCATTGACTCAGCAGGAGATTACTATTTTCACTTTTAAACACGAAACTCATTTAATTTCCTTTTTACTCGCATTGCTTCTTGTTTTGCCATCAGCAATGGCGCCGGGTCGGCAAATGCCCGTATGTTGTGACGTCATGAGGGAGTTTCAAACAATCCAAAAAGAGCAAGTGGCGTTACCTGAATGAATCACTGACTGAGAGTGATCAAAGTCTGATTCTGATTCTGATCCTGTGAGATTCACGCTCGTACACGTGTTAATAAACTGGATGTGATTTAAGTTTATTAAGTGATTTCAGATTATCAATTGCATTTACCTGTGAAAACAAACCTGGAAAGAGACGTGAGGGTTTGAGGAGAATAACTGACAGCTCATCCAGTCAAACTGATGGATCAGCTTTATTTGTAGGGCAACCTTATGATTTGAAATGATTCGTTTCAGCCTTTTTGAATGGAAGTTCCCCAAACCGGAAGTCCCATCCATAGTTCAAAATTTGACAGCTCTAGACACATCATCGCGCCCGCCATCTTGGAACGGTCAGCACGTCGTCACTCACAGTAGCAATCAAAGATAGCCTACAACACTGTGTTTACCGTCTGGTTGTAACTTGTAAATCTGCCGAGATTTAAATTCCCGAAGAAATGTGATAACCTTTCACAGGTGGGAATGTGTTAGTTTGTGTTTTTATGTGTATTAACTAACTCAATATTACAGGTTTAATATGGTAGTAATTTTTTGTATTGTGTTAGTTTAGCAAAATCTTCTACTGACGTCTATTGCAGATATAGATATTCATTAATGCGTCTAACTACGGTTGCAGACGCACAGTCAACGAGTGGAACAAAAGTTGCCGTTTCTAAATTTGTGGGTGTTTTCAAACTAGTTGGTGTTTATCATGCAATGAAAATTATACCCTTCATCTGACCTCTCTGTGTCTGGCTCACCCACTGATCTAACTCCTATTACTGTCCTGCAGAGATCCTTGCAGTAAACTTGCTTTTGAGTGTCACAGACCGGTGTTTTGACCGTTCTAATATGGCGGACGGCTTATGTATAGTGGCCCATCGAAACAGTTTCTAATGAGGTATCTATGTTTAGATTTCTATTGTTCAGTCCCCCAGAAATGGGGACTGAAATATTGCCACAAAGAGCTCAGACTGTCAGTTTGTAGTCCTCACCAAGTCTGCCAAGCAACTAAACTGAAACGTAAAAGTCATACAGTTTTGCACTATATATTTACAAATGTAGCCAACATTCAAGATCTGAATTTTCAGAAGGCTATGTTTAAATGTGTTAATTGACAGAACGACTTCACTATTCCTTTAACAGACACGTGATATCCCCATTAGATAGCACCTGTTTGCAAATTTCAGGTTCTACACAGAAGCTAGTTTGCCTTGATTTACATAAAACAAATTGATCAGGCACCCATGTTTGAGAACATAAAATGAACTAGGCCTGCTTACTATATTAATGCATTTAATCCATGACGTATCACGTGGCATGGATGTACAAGAAGAAGAAAATTAGATAATTCACATGCAAGATAATAGGGTATAAAAACAGACACAAGGGATTAATTAAACCTCTTTTGGTGACTCTCTGAAAAGATTAACTGCTGCCTTGTTGTTCACTGCTCACGCTGACAAGGCTTCTCTGATCAAAAGACCCAAATACTGGAGTTTATTTTGTCTCAGCACGTCTCTGGTGTGTAAACCCATTACTTTTCCCCTTTTCAGCCACCATGCTTGGAATGGAAGCTGAAGGTGGGGCGAGTTACACCATCTCGTGCTGGTAGGGATGGGCACAGTATTCCCGCTAGTCTCAGAGACGAAATGGAAAATCCCAGCTAAGCTTTGGATTGGTGCTCCAGCGTGTTTCCACGGTGCACCTTTCATTACGATGTAGACGTAAACATGCATTTGTCAGATCATGTAAATCTCCAGCACAAAGGTCATCCTTTATATGAAGGGGTTTAGCGTCTTGATGCGTTTCCTAGCAGCTGTTTTGTTGGTGAACACTTGGTTGCTGAGACGTTCCAGGCCGTTGTTGACATTTGATCCAAGTCTGCTGTGTGTTCTCAAGAGCTGCTATTTGTTGCTTCGGTATAATCAGATCAGATGCATTGGCAAGAACTGTGGTCATTTTATTTACCCCATTTTTGTTGAAGTGAAGCTGGCAGAGGACAACGATTCAGGCATTAAGGGGATTCATGTTATATTTAGAGCATAAGTGGATTGCAAAGCCAAATGGGAATTTGCTCTGATGTACGCAGCAGATACATGATATGCTTTCCAACACTAACTGAATTATTACTTGTGTTTTAATGTGAAAATCTTCAGCTCATATTAACAATTCATTTGACTTTACTGCAATCTGACTTATTATGTCTGACAGAAAAAGGATAATCATTGAGAAAATTGACAATATATTCATTCAATGTATTCCTCTGGAGATAATAGGATCGTAAAGTCAGGTGGCTGGAGGGGAAGAAAAGGTGAAAGCAGAGAAAATAGCAGTTTTGTATTAAAAGTTTAATTTAAAAAAAATAATATTGATGCATCATGCACAATAAGGCCTTCAACATGCATTAAAAGTCATCCCATACCATGATTTTATTTTTTGGGTGAACTATCCCTTTAAGAAAGCAAGTTATAATTTTATGTAGAGCAGATGCATTTTTATTACCTGTAACCTAATTTTGTATTGCAGGTTACAACCACATCGTCATGATGAAGACTTTGGCACTGGTTTTCTTGACACGTGAGTTTAGCATTTTCTGAAGTCTTTGGTTTTAAAAATACTTGCTTGTTGTCCTGTCTCTTATCATAGAAATGTAAATTCATTAAGGTGCTTTAATTTGTATAGACCACAAGTAATTATAATAAACACATACATGTGATCGTTCAATCTTTGGATATTATGTTGCTTATAATATACTAATATGATCTATTATTTTTGTAGTTTTTTCCCTTGTGTTGGCAGAAGGTCAGAAGACAAGTAAGAGATTTCACTTTTCATTACACTGTTTCTTTTTGTTTCTGTTCTAATCCTTGTGATAAAATAATTTTACACAATGTTGCATGCACTAATTTTAGTTTTTTGTTGTTTCGATTTGGGATTTGCAGCAGAGGAAGACCCCTTCACTTTTGGTGAGTTGCACACATCGTTTGAGTCGATCATCCATAATCCAGTGCTTAAAGAGTTCTTAAGATCTCTCACATTTTCTTTCATTGTCATTTATTCTGTCTCTCAATAGATTATCACAGACTTCGAGTTGGAGGTTTGATCTTGGCAGCAGTTCTGTGTCTGATTGGCATTACTATTCTCCTAAGTGAGTTTGACAAATGTTCAGACAAGATTTAAGATATATAGGCCGATCTGTTTTCATGTTACATAGCCAGTTAAACCATTAGATGGCGAGAAAAAAGGTTGCCAGGTCTGCACAACAAAACTAGCCCAATGGCCTATACTATAACAAATTGTACAGTATATTTATTTGGCAGAGGAGTATTATGTAGGAGTATTATGCTAGTATGGTTCCAAATTCAGTCATTGAATCATTCGCCCAGTTTGTTCAAAAACACCGATTATAAACAAAACCACTACTGTTTTTTGGCGATTATGTTTAGATTTACTCACCCTTATGTCATCCAAGACATCCATGTTATTCTTTCTTCAGTCGAAAAGAAATTAAGGTTTTTGATGAAAACATTCCAGGATTTTTCTTCATATATTGGACTTCAATGGGAACCAAAACGGTTCAAGGTCCAAAAGACAGTTTCAGTGTTCGTTTATTTTGATGAACGAGTTCGAACAGGAGTCACGAACGTGCATCACAGTACAGAGCAAGGCGACCATTTGAGCTTATAAAACTTAAACTTTATTTTGTTTTTTTTTCTAAATGAGCAATTGTTTCGCTTGAAGACCCTTTTTCATCATCTGGAATCGTTTAAAGCCCTTTGAACAGTTTGCAGTTTAGACTGAATCTGTCTTTTAGACCTTGAACCGTTTGGTTCCCATTGAAGTCCATTATATGGAGAAAAATCATATACTGTATTTCATCAAAAACCTTAATTTCTTTTCGACTGAAGAAAGAAAGACATGGATATCCTGGATGACATGGCGGTGAGTAAATTATCAGCAAAAGTTTTTTTAAAAGTGAACTACTCCTTTAAGTATTTATTATTTAACTGGCAAAAATGTATGTGTCTAAAATTAAGTTACTCAATATTAACTTCTAGATCATTAAACTTTCTAATTAATAACTGTGGCTTATTTATTATATTTTGAGCTAGCAACAACAGCAGATCCTAAATCCGTGGCATTTGAAATCACTCATTGGATTTATTTACATAGTCCGCTGAACTGACAATATTAAGACATGCTGATATATGGCCATAACTCTTGCTTGATTTATTTATTTTTCCTTTGGATTTTGACATGAAATGTGACCTGGACATATATTTGATTCAGCCAGCAACCTGTTTAACAACATCCTTTGCCATTATTACAGGTGGCCACTGCAGATGCAAATTCAACCAGGACAAAAGGTATAAAATGAATAATATTGGCTACAGATTTGTGGTGTTTTACTTGTATGTGCATCAAAGTATACTACAGTATATACGCATTGACTAGCTCTAAAAGCGCATTTCTCTTTTGACAGGAGGAGGACAGGAAGTAACGCTCAAGCGATGCTCAATGACACAGGTATGACCGCTCTTATCTGCCTGTGCAACCAGTAACATGAAACCAGTGCTGGTAACCTGGTATAAATCAGAAGTTCCCTAATGAAACACGCCACTTATAAACCTTTGTGGTCTGAAGGCTGTGTGTTCTACGCATGAAATCCATCTGCTAATTATTGCTGTGCCAGTTCCCCTGTGATGCAGTGAGATACAGTGGGTCTGTGCTCAGTGGTGGGCCCGTATGGCCCGTCTCCACAGCATCAGTCACATGGTTTCCAGGATGACTCATAATCTCTCCCCGGGGAGTATTTACACTCCATGATCCCTGAGGGTGGGGTTGGGGAAATGGGATACAAAGATGTGCTATGTCAATGTTTTATTCAGCATCTAATTGTCCACAGCAAAGAATAAAAGAATTCAAATTGAATTTCAATTATTTAAAGGGGCCATGAGTGTCAAATGTGCCTTGATCTTTTGAGATGATGAAAGAGTTCTTTGTGCAAAGAAAACATGCTGTAATTTAAAAAAAAAAAAAAATTGAGATTTTTTTTAAACTAAACTGCAAAAAAAAAAATTATTGTGGAGGTCTGCAACTTTCTGACATCAGATGAATTGGCATGAAAAACTAAATTAGGCCATTGTCGAGCCAAAGAAACATAAATAGGCTACTAAAAATATATACAATTATAAGTTGATAAGTTAACCACACTCAGGCCTTCTGAAAATTGGTTCCCTCTGTGTTCATAGTGTAAGAGAATATACACTCAAAGAAACGCTTTAGGTCAAATATGGACAAACTCAAACATTGGGTTAAAATGTAATAAAAAATATAACCCAATGGCTGGGTTTGTCCATATTTGACCCAAATTTGGGTTAAAATAACCCATCATTTTTTTAGAGTGTTGATGAATATCCTAAACATGACAAATCAGTTCATTAAATATTTAAATGTGATATTAATTTAATACTTTTCTATTTTACAGCAAGGGCCAGCGAATGCTAAAAACCCGCTGACCTGACCAGAACCAATCAGAGGAGATGGTCTGCCTTCCTTTATGTGCTGGTTTATCAGAGGAATCATTTCTCTTTAAGACGAGGAACCTGATACAAAGGTTTTCTGTGTTTTCACTGCTTACCTGCTCTCAGATCACAGAGGAGGAAGGTGAAAATTCATGTAACATTTTGTTGTTTTTTTTATGCCAGATGTGTCTTTGTAATTTCACTTAATATAAATCGATCACCAAAAAAATGTTATGTAAATTGTTTTTTTTTTATCCTGTCAGTAACTGTATTAAATTATGTTGGATGTAGGTATGAAAGGGAAGGCTTTCAATGGCAATGTCCTGAGTCAGTCTCATATGGAATCCTTTAACCAAATATTGCTGTAAGCTGTAGTGAATCCATCCAATATTGCATTGTTGCATTCTGTGTGAAGTAGTTTATGTTCAGACTTGCTGTGCAATTGAGTAATAGTTGAATAAGACGTATGAAAAGATCATGCTCTCAAGAAAAAGAAAAAAAAACCCCATCATATTTACATTTTCATGTGCTTGACTTATTTTCATTGCCAGCCTATTTATCACAAACATGCTAGTAGTAAGAGTTTGTTTTTTTCTGTTGTGTGAAAAATTGTCAGTATCATTCAAACATAAACACTAAAATAAACTAAAAGACACTTAAACAAAGAACACCTGAATCAATGTTTTCTGTTCTCTGTCTCCAGCTGACTGACACCCTACTGTTTCTCAAAGCCTTTAGATGAGCATGCGACAATTTAGCTACAGCCTACGACATGTTATTTCTCACATCCTTGTCATGCATGTGCAATGTTTTATATTCAGTAAAAAAAAAAGGCGAAAATTAAATGTGACTGGGTGGGAAGAAACTGCTAAAAAGAGATTTTTGCAATTAGAATAGCCCAAAATTTACTCAACAGCGCCCTCTACTCACTGACATTTGGCATTACATAGGAACTACACTCTTAGAAGAAAAGGTTCTATAAAGAACCTTAAAAGGTTCTATCAGCGCTACGTATTTGGAACACCTAAAAGGTTCTATACACACTTAAAAAAAGGGTTCTTCTGGGTTCTATATAGAACCCTGGGGTACCTGGCCAATAGAACCTTTTACCAAAAAAAAAATAAATGGTTCTATATAGAACCATTTTGGAGTTCCATATATGAAGCGGGGGATGGAACCATTTCTGGTTCTAAATAGTACCATTTCTTCTAAGAGTGTATTATCAGAATACAACTGTCAATATTGATTGCAACGTGAAATACAGTTATGTTTATACACTGACAACCTCATTCTTTAACTACAGTGATTTAGCAATACCAAACAATATTGGTTAGTTGGTATGTGCCGTGTGAATAGTTCATGACAACTCTTGAGTGGGTTGACCATAGGAAAAGAGAGGTGTTGTATGGTTTGGGTGTTTGTGTAGGAGAGCATAAAATTAAGAGGGGAAAATTAAAATGAATTGAGGAGTGGGCAGGGGGGTCAACCTCAAATCAGAGAGGATGAAAGCAGTGGAAGTTGCCTTTCACTATCACATAAAACCCGATAGATAAAATGTGGGCCATGCCATGCACTCTTGCTGTTATGAGGTGGTTGTTACAGAGATATGAAACCTCAAGATTAGAGTTGGTTTACCAGCTCACTGTCATAAGCAAACCTGCATTCATTCTCTTTATTTATTGATGTCACTATACTGTGATCTTTCCAAAGAAATAAAAATGTGCTCGTCTCTACTTCCAAAGTAAAATTTCAATAAAATATAGGTCCTGCACTATAAAATGGGCAATAAATAACACACTGCAAAAAAAAAGGAAACAATTTGTAAACAAAAGATTATTGGACTATATTTCACAAGAAAATAGTATTCTTTCTACTTCAAAATTTCACATTTAAAGGTCCCCTGAAGTCTTTTTTTTTAGCTTTTAGTATGGATATGTTATAGCCATAAGGTTCTGACTAAGCTGGTGTGTTCCAAAACAATGACAAAATTCGCATTTAGGAGAAAATGTACAGTCTCTCACTTTTGCTAAAAGTTTTATACCTGTACGTTAAGAATCAAATGGCAAGAATTTATTCACACCTCTAATAGAGCATCACAGCCCGAGAGAGTGTTGGTTCCCATTGACATTTTGCAAAATCCATATCTAAAGAGGATTAGAGTCTGAGGATAACCAGCTACGGCTGAACTCATAAGCATACAACATATCATTTCGAGTCAAAAAATGAAGAAAAAATCCGAAAAAAGTCAAGCATACAAGCCTGTGTATATATTTTCATTTCCGAGCAAAGGAACTACTCCCATTAACCACCGCATCTCACCGTACTTTGCCATTGAGAACAAAACATATCTGTTTAAATGCACAGTAGCTGTGTAATTTATTTATTTATTTATTTTAATAAACGGGCTCGGGTCGGACTTGGGCTGATTATTCTGATGAGCTGTCGGACAAGGCCTGTGCATGGCTCTACAGCACGCATGTAGAATTAACTATACTACCAGACTGCAAAAAAAGAAAATTTTACACGTAATATGCATGCTAATAGTGTCAATGTTTTCACAAATTCAAGTTTTTGTATATTATATGATATAGTTTTCAAAAACTTGCTGTTTGAAACCCATTTTCGAAAGTTTGCATTTGCAGGCCTAAAACAGCTTTGTTGTGCAAATAGACGGCCAAACTGCATAAAAAGTTTTCTGCTTTTGGTTTGAAACGGGGTCATGTAAACAGCTTGTGACAAAGTGGAACTGTGCCACAATCTTCACTTAATGTGGTTAGACTGGTAAAATAGGCCCTTTCAGTTCACACTGTTCACCATAAGAGGCCACGGTACTAAGAGACTCACAATATTCGATTGAAAAAACATTTCTAAAGAAGAAGCGTGAAAGCAACCAGGCATGGCCCAGGCTTCATCTCCACTATATTGTCAGGGAAACAATCCTGGAAATCATCATGCAGTCCATCCTGACAGCGTCCAGATCCAGCTCCATCCCCAGTTCCCGAATCACCCCAACGAGCCTGTGGTCGTCGTTCAACCTCCTGTGTACCGGGCTAACGCTCCACTGGCTGACCCTGTGCCCGATTACATGTGTTACTCACGGTTTACCATGCTGTGCTGCTGCATCTGTCTGGGAGCTTGTGCACTTGGTTACTCTAGAGCTGTAAGTATTCATTTATTTACCATTGAATGCTTTTTTTAAGGAAGATTTTTCATATTATGCAAAGTTCAATTTAATTCAAATTGATTTGAATAGCACTTTTCACAATACATATTGTTTCTATACAAGTGCATTTCAGAAATGTACATAGAAAAAATAGAGTTAGTTAACCATGTATTCCTTTAGGGCATAACATATCGCAGTTCGAATTTCAAATAAGATATACATAATACCATTCAATATAAATATGTTTGTGAATTGATGTGATTGGTCATGCCATGTGTCTTTTTTTTCCACTATTATGAATTTATGAATATGCTATGTTTACAGTTACATAATGTGTTGAAGATTGTGATCTCTGCGTTGGAATATTTACAGTAGACATTTGCAGTTGTTATAAAAGTAGTTTGATAACCCAGAACATTTGTTTTTCCCACTTTTTAACTTTTCTCTTCCACTGTCCAAAAATATATTTTCAGGAATATTTCCTTGGATTAAGAGTATAAGCTTTCTTTATGCCCTCAACCTCAAAATCAACTTATTTGGATGTTTTGTGTATGCAATGTGATTAATATAATTTATAACATTTTGTCATGGGCTATCTTCAATTTTGATTTTTTGAAGGAATATCTTGAATAAATGATATAATGACACAACAGTCAATGCCACTGACATAACAATGTAATAGATACCATCTCCATTTGTTTCATTATATTACATTTACATTATATCTGACATTAGTTTCATTATATTACATTTACATTTATTCATTTAGACGATTCTATCCAAAGCAACAAATGAGTACAATAGATGCATTAAACAATATGCAAGTGCTATGACCCATCCCAGTTTAATCTAATGCAGTACATGTACTTAATATATACACAAACACACATATACAGTGAGGAAAATATTTGAACTACCTGCTATTTAGCAAGTTCTCCCACTTAGAAATCATGGAGGTTCTGAAATTGTCATTGTAGGTGCATGTCCACTGTGAGAGACATAATCTAAAAAAAAAATCCAGAAATCACAATGTCTGATTTTTTTAATATTTATTTCTATGATACAGCTGCAAATAAGTATTTGAACACCTGTCTATCAGCTAGAATTCTGACCCTCAAAGACCTGTTAGTCTGCCTTTAAAATGTCCACCTACACTCCATTTATTATCCTAAATTAGATTGCACTTGTTTGAGGTCATTAGCTGCATAAAGACACCTGTCCACCCCATACAATCAGTATGAATCCAACTACTAACATGGCCAAGACCAAAGAGCTCTCCAAAGACACTAGAGACAAAACTGTACACCTCCACAAGGCTGGAAAGGGCTACGGGGAAAATGCCAAGCAGCTTGATGAAAAAAGGTCCACTGTTGGAGCAATCATTAGAAAATGGAAGAAGCATAACATGACTGTCTCTCGGACTGGGGCTCCATGCAAGATCTCACCTTGTGGGGTCTCAATGATCCTAAGAAAGGGATCAAAATTCCTCCTGCAGTGTGTGCAAACCTGGTGAAAAACTACAGGAAACGTTTGACTTTGTAAACGCAAACAAAGGCTACTGTACCAAATATTAACATTGATTTTCTCAGGTGTTCAAATACTTTTTTGCAGCCGTATTATACAAATGAATAGTTAAAAAAAATCATACATTGTGATTTCTGGATTTAAAAAAAAAAAAAGTTTAGATTATGTCTCTCACAGTGGACATGCACCTACGATGACAATTTCAGACCCACTCCATGATTTCTGGGAGAATTTGCAAAATAGCAGGGTGTTCAAATACTTATTTTCCTCACTGTGTGTGTGTGTGTGTGTGTGTATATATATATATTTCCTTCACAAATCCCACTATGGGACACCCTGACGCAATGCAATGTTTAATAGACTTAGATAACATTTGCTCATGTTGTTGATAAAGAATGGAATATATATATTTTTCTCTTTGTATTTTTATAGACCAAATTATCCTATTTATTTCATCGTGATAAACAGTTAGGTCACTAATCTAACTGTAATCAAAAAGTTGTCTGATTATATAAAAGTGTAATATATATATATATATATATATACTTATAATGCTTCATACAAAGTATATTGCATTGTAACATAACTTGGCTCCAGCTTGTGCTGAGTTTTGCACAATGATGATAAATGATGTGGCGGTGTGGTGTTTGAGTGGTGCGCACTTACCGGCAGAAACGTAAATCGGTTCCTAAGTAGAGTGTACACCCTAAACGAGTGTATAAAGATTAATAATCTGTGCTGGTGCTGTGCATTATCTTTAAAATTTTAAAATTGACCATTACACAGTGAAGATCCCAAGAGAGTTGTTTGCTTTGTAGGTCAAATACGAGCAAGCAGGTTCTTCACACTTACCCTCAACTCATTGTGGTTTTTCATGTTTCTTGTAAGTGCATCAGCACAGGTGGATGCTTTTGGAAAGTCCTCTATTGCAACACGGAAAGCCACAATGCTGAGGGGGGCTTTGTAATGCTGAGCTCAAATCAGCATTT